AACCCTTTCGGGATCCAGCGCCCACAAAAAAAACCCACAAGTCACCCGAGCCCCGAGCTCTTGGGGCCCATCTGTGAGCGTTTCCGACTTCTCGGGCCAACGCTCCACTCCGTGCCCGCCGTGCCTTGGGGGTTTAGGGTTTGGAGTTTAGGGTTCAGGGTTATGAGTGTAGGGTTTGGACTTAGTTTGGGTTTAGGGTTTGGTGTTGTTTCCGGGTTTGGAGCTTAGGGTTTAGCAATGTGGGGGCTTTGGTGATCCTGCAACCTGGGAGTGGATGTTTCGCTTGAAAGGAGTGTCCTTGATCAGTTTCATGTTAGGGCTATGATCCTTATAAGATTGAGGGTCGGAGTTCTAGAAGAGGGATCAGCCTTTGAAGTCCAGAGCCCTGCACGCGGAGGTCTAAATCGGGATTGGCTGGTTGCCCGGTCCCCTCACAGATGGACCCCATAGCCATAGCCGTCAGACTTGTGACACCAAACTAGGGCCATGGTACTTACGCACTTAAATCACTAAGGCAGGGATCAGGGATCCTCGAACGCAACTCGAAGTTGCCCCCCCCCCCCCCAACCAAAATAGAAGATACACACACACACACACATACATATAGAACCAACAAAACAAGCGCCGCAACTGCAAAAGCCGGCTTTCAGTGATAGTGTAGAGGGTCTAGGGTTTAAGCTTACTCGGGTGAATGTAGGGACGGTTCCTGCATCAACGTTGTTTAGAGGGTTTCGGGCAGACACCCTTTGGAATGCAACCCTAGACCTTATAAACCCTATAATTACAAACCCTAAAGAACCGAAAAAACCGATAAACCCTGTAAACCCTAAACATCCTAGAAACCCTAAACCCTACTCCGGGTCCTGCTTCCTACAGGGCCTGACAGAACAAAAACGGTTGGGATCGCAGTATCGGGTAGGAAGCTGCCCTGTGTGGTCAAAAGGTTGCTCTTCCACGCAGCTAAACCCTAAACCCTAACCCTAACCCTGAACCCAAAACCCTCAACCTCAACCCTGTACCCTGAACCCTATACCCTGAACCCTAAGCCAAAAGCCCTTGGACTACTCTTGGGCCCCTGGCGACCGAAGTCGCCAAGGCTGGTCGTCTTCGTGACCTTCGGTAGTGGCGCTTGCAGCCTGAGCCACGGTGCATGCAATTTAGGCTTTAGGGTTTTGGGTTTTGGGTTTGGGTTTAGAGTTTAGGGTTTAGGGTTTTGGTGGGTTTTAGGGTTTTATGAGGATTCTACTAGACCTTATGGGCTTTCTTGGGCTTCTGGGGTTTCTTCGGGTTTGGCAGGCTTTGTCGGCTTTCTCTGCTGCATGTGGATTTATTTTAGGGATGTAAAGCTGATTGCGGGCTAACAAACCCCAGGTCATTTTTGGGCTCTTTGGGTGGATGTTTAGGGTGTAGGGTTGATCTGATCAAAGATTCTGCGAGCGGCAACCTGATCCTTTGCAGGTCCACCCTTCAGAGAACCGACAGGATCCTGTTTTTATGAAGAGACCACGGCGGCAGGAAATGCCACATCCGGACCAACAGAACCTGTTGCAAGCAACATTGGGCCGTCAATTCAACTAGAGGCCGATTTTGGCATGACCCAAAACCCTAAACCCTAAACCCAGAGTTTACACGGGGAGTACATGGGCACATGTGCAGGTTCCGGTCGTGTACCCTAAACCCGAGGAAGACGCTGTGATTACCGGTGGCTGGGGCAGCCGAAGGCTGCACATCCAAAACCACAAAGGGTTTAGGGTTTAGGGGCTAGAGCTAGGCCCCGCAATAAGGGCTTAGGGCTTAGGCTTTTAAGGCAATCGGGCATTATGACTTCTTTTTTTTTTTTTGGGGGGGGGGGGGGGGATTCCCGGGCCCCTAAACCCCATAAGGCCGCCTTGTTTACAAGCAAAATCAAGGCCCCCTGGCTCTGTGGAGGTTCTCTCCGGGGCGTCCTTGCCACATTGCTTGATCTAAATTAAGGTTTAGGTTTCGGGCTTGCGTGCAATGAGGGAGTAGTTACAATGAGCAGAGGTCAACGAAAAGGTGTACTTACTGAGTCTGCTGCTTCATGCTTTCTTCTTGCCACACGATAGTACTACCTTACTACCAAGACTTCTGTTCTTCTCCATGGGTTCTTCATTCTCAATTCAGGTGGCATCATGCGCCTACTATGCCTCCAATTCCTACTGCTGGCTCAGATGCGCCTTTGCTCTGACCCTTCTCGTTAATTCCGTTTGATGCTACTATCGACGATTGGCACGGTTGATGTGAATCTTATTGTTCTGCTCTCGTCTCTTCATACATTCATGGTACGAGAAAGTGCTCCCCTGCCGCTGTCCCTGCCGCTGCCGCTGTGGCTGCTATGCTCAGCTTGGCATTTCTGTCAATATGATCTTCCGATTATCACCAGTATTGTTTGCATTTAATGGCCGGTATTCGTCTTCGTTGTAATTTTAACTCACACATAGCTTCTGGAATTGAATTGTGCAGGAAGCATACATGGGTCTTCGACGGCGCTGCCTTGAACCCGCCGACGGACAAACCAGGACCTGAGGGCAAAGAAGCAAGTGTTGTATGGTTGGTTTCATGCTTAAAGGCTTTAAAAGGGCTTTCCAAACCCTAAACCCTAGTAAGCTCGTTATGGCTCGTTCATTCGCGGTGCTCCCCGTGGTTGCTCCTCGCGTCACGAGTGCAAGGAGTACACGAGGCTGCGGGCATAGACATCTGTCAGTTAGAAGCTGCGAGATCCAGCTCATCTCTGCGAAAGGCCTTGCTCAGGCGTTGCAGGCTGGAAGTTGTCAGACCCATATTGCTGGCGTACGATAGGACAGCGAGAGAGCAAGGTCGGGGAAAGCTTTTTTCGAGGTTTACCTTCTCGTTTGAAGACCTCGGGCGCTCAGGTGGGCTGGAGTTTCTCTGAGAGTCTTCGCCCACAACCTTGCCCCGCAACATCGTTGAGGCTTCGCTGCTGGGCCATCAGAAGCGCGCTTGTTTGGAGCTTCGACAGTTCCAGGATTTCTCTTGTGGATGGTCCTTTGTTCACCTTGTTCGGGTCGCGAAGGGCAGAGCAGCGAGAGACAAGCTTTTTTGTTGCTTTCTACTCGACGGTTTCGGGTCGAGTAAGGAGCCAAAGTTTGGCCCTCAGAAGGGTCCGCACTTCAGTGTTCAGCGCCCATGTGGCGGGCCTTTCTTGGCCACAGGGACGTTGGATGCACTCACTCACTCACTCATCACTCACTCACTCACACGCCACCAAACGTGCACGCGTCCACCCATCGGTTCCACAGGTTTCTCCACAGAGCGCTTGGGTGTCTGCGAGGAGAGTTGCGAAGTCATAACTTAAAGGGCATACACGTGTTCTTATATATATATGTATATAGGCCTGTCTAGAAGCTTATGTGAATAAACTAAAATAAAGAAATAACAAATACATAAATATAGAGGGAGCGCTCTGTTTGGTTCGCGTTTCAGTGTGCAGCTTTTGATCTTCGCGAGCTTCGCCTGAAGCTTTTGAAGCTCGTTGTCCCGACCCCTAGCTCGCAATCTGAATTGTGAAGCCCTGAAGCTTCGCGAGCTTCGCGCTTCGCCTGAAGCTCTGAAGCTTCTCGAGCTTCGCGCTGCGCATGAAGCCTGAAGTCTGAAGCTTCGCGAGCTTCGCACTTCGCCTGAAGGTTGACGTTCCCGCTTCCCCGGAAGCCTGAAGTCTGAAGCTTCTCGAGCTTCGCGCTGCGCATGAAGCCTGGCGTCGGAAGCTTCGCGAGCTTCGCGCTTCGCCTGAAGGTTGACGTCTGAAGCCCTGAAGTTTCGCGAGCTTCGCGCTGCGCCTGAAGCCTGAAACCTGAAGCTCTGAAGCTTCGCGAGCTTCGCGCTTCGCCTGACGCTTGAGGTCTGTGAAGCTCGGGAGCTTCGCGAGCTTCGCGAGCTTCGCGCTTCGCCTGAAGCTCTGAAGCTTCGCGAGCTTCGCGCTTCAAAACGAAGCTCCTCTGGCCCACCACTGGCTCGCAATATATATATATATATATATATACATACATACATACATATACATACACATATATACATACGTAGATACTAGATAGTGCCAAGGAAAGGTCAGCACATTTTCTGGCTAGTTTGGATTTCCGGCGGCTTTCTACTCGGATCCCGGGTGCCATCTCAAAAGCTGCTCGAGCATGCATATGCATATATATATATAGATGTGTTTATACATATTATACATGTATATATACAGTGGTATATGTAGATATGCATATATACAGACGTATGTGTATATATATAGATATGTATACATATATACACCTACACTACAAGTCTTACCGAAACCAATGTCCTCCGAGGACCAGGCTCAGTGGAGATCCTTCGCCTCGGCGAGTGGAGCCTGTCATCTTGCAATCGGTGTAGTGGTTGAGCATGCCACCCTCTACCCTAAACCCTAAACCCTAAACCCTAACAAAATTAAACCCTAAACCCTAATCCCTAAACCCTAGGGCTTAACAAGATTTAGGGTTCGCGGTGCGAACTCACCGATTTGTGGAAAGCATGCGTCGTAGTGTTGGGGATCTTGGTGCTGAGGATGAGCCCCCGAGGTCCCTACACCCCTCAGCCAAGAGCCTTCCGAAACTCTGAACCCTGCAACCTCAAACCCCTAAAACCCTGGAGCGCCAGAAGCCAACATGCGCACTGTCAACACTACACTTTTAGCCCAGCACATGCAGTCGAGGAGATCTGCTTAGGGTGTTGACCGTGGTCTGCTTATGATGGTTTAGGATTCGACCAGCCTTTTTATGTTAGCAAGGGCAGCAATCGTTCTTCAACTGAGCCTCTGAGTGGCACACCTATTAGTGATGCCAAGCTCTACGACTCTGATGCTGGCAAGGCGGTTTGCCGTCATGCTGAAGGCATACTTTCTACCGGCCCTGCTTTAAAATCTAGGGAGCACAGCGCCAATCGCTATATGCGCGGTGCTCCGAGCACTGAAGCCGGCTGCTTGTTGCAGGGGCATGCTTCTATTGCTGGGGCTCGTAATTGAAGATCCACGGCACGAAGAGCGACTTGATAACTGCAATGAGGATAGCAATCCCGTAGGAGAGCAGCCCCGTGAGGTAGGACATCACCAATCGCGTCCCAACCTTAGCACCGCTTGGTATGCTTTCGCTAACTCGTAGAGCATGCTCCGAACGAGATCTTTAAGGCCCAAGGGCTCTATATTAGGGTGGATATAGGTTGCTCTGGGGGGGGGGGGAACCCTAACCCTAAACCTTAAACCCTAAACCCCAAACCCCATCAAGCCCTAAATAGGGTGTCAAGCAGCGGGAATTCCCAGGAAGGTCAGCTGCATCCCATGGATCGATTCAAAGCTAAGCAGATCTTGAACTGCAAGGTTTTGAACCTTGGCGGCTCTTCACACTCTTCAACCCACAAAAAACCCCTCAACCCTAACCTTCAAACACTCATGTCTTTGCTCTTTTTTTGTTGGGGGGGGGGGGGTTACCAGTGAATTTACCAGCTGCTTAGTGTTCCTAGGGCTTCAGGCTTTAACCTTTGAAGGCTGTTGTTGGCCATCTAGGAGTAGCTGGGCTGGCTGTCCAGGAAGCAAGAGCTCGTGGACCCGGATCGCTTCTGAGTAGCAAATAGCTTCATGTAGCTGAATGTGGGTGTTCCATAGTCTTTGAGTTGTTGTTGGTTTTCCACACTGGCGATTGCTTCTGGACCTGGAAGCCTTCGGATGTTCATCTTGCTGATAAACCTGCGGTTGGCGCACATGTTTGGCAGTCAGCATCTGCTCCTAACGGCCTCATGGCATCCGAATAGCAGTACTAACTCATCGTGGATCATATCCGCAACAGGCAATAATAATATTCGTGACCGTCGGAATGATGATGACAACGACCAAGGTAGAAACTAGTAGAAAATAGTAGTCTTCATGATGCAGCAACAAACGCAATTACAAACGCCACTATGCAAACACGGCAGTAGCAACAATGCTAGTGAGCTCAGCAACGACAATGATATCAACCACAACCGCAACCATGGTAACTAGTAACTAGGTTGGCCCCTGAAAAGCCTCTGAAAATATTCTCAACCCTCAACCCTCAACCCTCAACCCTCAACCCCAAACCCCAAACCCCAAACCCCAAACCCCAAACCCGAAACCCGAAACCCGAAACCCTAAACCCTAAACCCTAAACCCAATATGGGAATATACAAAAGAACATCCCCAGGGCAGGGAAGACTGTGCAGCTGCAGCTGGGGCACTTCGGGCAGCTGACCAATCACAGGGGCTGCCAACGACAGCGCCTGACGTAACGGAATCGGCACTGGAGTTAGGGTTTAGGGTTTAGGGTCTAGGGCTTAGGGTATAGGGTCTAGGGTTTAGGGTTCCTTGGGACATTTTGTATTTTCACTTGTTGGGTTTAAGAGGCTCATATTCAGGAATATTCTTCAGAGGTTTTCAGGATCATCCTAGTTAATATAGGGGTCGGAATAATAACGAATAGTATTCCCTTATGGTCCCGGTTTAAATATACTATAATCACCCCCAAAGAAACACTAATCGTATTCCCTCATGGTCCCTATATAAATACACCATAATGAACCCCCCCCCCCCCCGGCATAGCAGGGCTCAGGGTTCCTGAAGCCCTAGAACCTAGTACGTCTCACGCCCTAGCACCTTGAACTCTAGAATCTCGAATGCTAAAGCACTGCAGATCTATCCTACATGCCATGTCCAGTTTAGGGGAAGTAAATGCCAACCTCTGAGAAATATAGGAGGCTTACACTACCCCCCCCCCCCCAAAAAAAAAAAAGATAATAATAATAAAATAAAATAAAAAATAAAAACTCCGAACGTCCCCACCCTCTCTGGGTAGAGATACTCTGGGGTTGGGCACTCCAGGGACACTCGCGGGTTGCACACTCCAGCTGGACACTCCATGGGCACTCTAGGGCTCGGTACTCCAGGGACACTCTAGGGCCGGGCATTCCAAGGACACTCTGGGGCTAGGGTTGGGCAAGGGATGAGCGAGGAGTAGACCGGGCGAGGAGAAGAGTTCCGGGCGAGGAGAAGATTCGAGAAGAGGGTGGGGAGAAAACAAACAAACAAACAAACTGGAGGATGCCACAGGCTTGGCATTCCATTTTATCCTCCAGGGCGTGTAGCCGTGAGAGCCCAAAACCCTCCTAAGCCCCATCCTAAGCACCTCAGGCCGACGTAAGGGTAGTTCTACAGTAAGCCTGCCCTTAATTGAGGCCAAGGAATCCTACAATAATGCAACCCCCCCACCCTGCGCCAAACTTGAGAATCAACCCTGAAACCTAAACCCTTTAGGAATTTGATTCTTTGGAGTCTGTGGAGATCGTCTGCAGTGACTGCTTGCATAAGCTCTAGACCCTAAACCCTAAACCCGAAACCCTAAACCCTAAACCCTAAACCCTACCACCGCTGAACACATGACCCAACCCTGAGGGCTCCTTGCTGTTGGAACTTGGAAGTTGCTCCGATTTCGATTGTGCCCTATGTATCTACTATTAACCACACGAAGCCCTAAACCCCAAACCCCCTTAAAGCCTAAACCCTAAAGCCTCTGAAGTTGAAAGCTTGTTGCTTCTAAGTACCTCTCACCCCCCCCAAACAACAAGTCTTGCTGACATCATGCTTCCTTGGGTTATGTCAATAGATTTCCTGACGTGGCCCAAGTTGAAAAGTCTCAGCGCAACAGCAGCTGAGCCCTGCACGTCATTGACGTGTGACCCGTACACCATGAAGCCGAGCATGAAGGTCCCGAAGAATATTCCTGAACTTGCGCGTGCAGCTTCCTAGGGGAGTCTTAGAAGCCAAAAGAGGGTTGCAAAACCTTCTTCTTTAAAAGGCTTGCTTGCTCGACCACTGAGGGAACGCCTTAGCTTGAGGGCTTCCGTGGTCGGGCCGCGAAGGCTGGGCGTTGGGGGATGGGCCCTGCTACGAAAAGCCTGAGCTGTTCGCACTACCTTGGACCTTGACACATGGCAGGCTCACGACCAATCTCGAGGGCCACGTCAGCCAGGGAAGGTCTACCTTGCCCAGTACTTCCGTGGCGGGTGGCTGTTCAAGTCCTGCCAGTCCTGCAGAATTCAGACAAAGACTCCGTCGATCACTGCGTAGGCGATGGTAGGGAATGCTATGCCACCTGTAGCCTCCAGCACAAGGGTGCCGACCACTATGACGACCACCTAGGCTCTGAATGCTGCAGCAAGAGAAGGGGTTTAGAGTTCCGGGTGTATATATATATATGTATAGAAAACGTATATGTATATATATATATATATATACATACATCATATATATATATATATGTATAGTAATGTTACAGCAGACTTGGGGGGGCTGTGGAAAGCAGAGCAGTCTGTCCCAAGAGCCGAGTCGCGATCACGAAGCCCAGATACAGCACAGGAGACACCAGCATCAGAGTCCAGCTCGTGTCTGCGAAGATCGCAGATCGGGTTCGGAACCACCAGAAGAAGGTGTCGGTTGCAGCAGGGTTGTCCACAGGCTGGAGCAAAAAATCCGGATATTTTTCAAGCTCGTAAAAGTTGCGCATGTCTTGGTGCGTGATACTGGCACGCAAGTGGAAAAGCCTGTAGAGCATCTGGGCTTGGCGGTGCTCTGCTCCACCAATGCTCCTTGGCTTCGGGATGCCCGTTCTGGACCATGCTGAATCAAATCCCACTTGGGCCTTTGCCCAAAATCGGGGACCCCCAATTTCCCCTAACAATCTACAGCCCATACTATAGGAACCCAAAATAGGTACCCGATGTTGAGGTGCTCAAGCGCGTCCAGGATACCAGTGGTGGAACATGAGCAAGTCATTGAGTTGATTGAGCCTATGAGCTGCCGACCACACCTGCAGCACGATGTAAGGAAGGCTGCAGAAGACAAGGCCTGGGCTGCTTGGGTCTCAGGCGGTTGAAGGGCTTAGTAGGGCTTTTAGGGCTTTTAGGGCTTAGGGTGCCGTGGAGTGTTGCAAAGGCGGGAGCTACATCGTGCTGCGCACTCTGTTTTACTCAGCCACAGTCTGGGGCTGGCATGAAACTTCAGGGGCATGCCACTTAGAGGCTTCTAGGGGCACCCAGGCGGTGAAGAACTCTCAGAAGGCACCGCAAAAGGCCTCCAGAAAGTCTCTGAGATATCAAAGGCCAACCCGCAGGGCCAAACGGGTTCGGGGCCAGGAAGCCTCGAACAAAAACGCGTCCAGGCAACTGGCCCGACACCGTTTGGCAAGAGCCATCCGAGTCGAGGGGTGTGGGAGGCACTGGTTTAAGCCTGGAGGTTAAGGAAACTTCTGATAACCAACTCAAGCCACCGAAAGCACTGCCTCTACCCAACACGGCCGAGGTGCCATAAATGAGTGATGAGAAGGCGAAGCCGCAAAAGTATGACATGATCCACCAGTATTTCGGGGAATACACCGCAACATGGGCCTGGGTTAGCGTTTAGGGTTTAGGGTTTAGTGTTTAGGGTCTAGGGTCTAGGGTTTAGGGGGTAGGGGGTAGGGGGTTTAGGGCCTAGGGGAGTTTAGGGTTTAGGGGTAGGGTTTAGGGTTTAGGGATTAGGGATTACACCCAACATGGGCCTGCGTCTGATTGCCTGTGACCTCATCGTAGAAGCCCCAGCTCGGCAAGGTGGCATTCGTGATATCCAGCATAAAATCATTGACCTGGGCTCTGGCCCCTAAACCCTATAAACCCTATAAACCCTACAAACCCTACAAACCCTAAAAACCATATAAACCATATAAACCCCATAAACCCTATAAACCCTATAAACCCTAGACCTTATAAATCCTATAAATCCTCTAAGCCCGAAACCCTCAACCCCTCAACCGCAGCTCTGCGACTGGTGGCCTGCAGGAAGCCCCTAACAAGCCCTAAACCCTACACCCTACACCCTACACACTACACCCTAAACCCTAAACCCTAAACCCTAAGTCCTAAACCCTAAACCCGCAGAGTTCCGACTGCCACCCCGGCGGCGCAAGCAGGCTTCTCGACCCAGTCTGGCAATGGGATCAAGCCTCGGCTTGCCCTGGGGGTGTTTAGGGCTCAGGGTTTTGGGGACTCGGTTTAGGGTTTAGGGTCAGGGCCTGGGGTTTAGGGTTTAGGGTAAGGGCCTAGCGTTTAGGGTTTAGGGTTTCGGGTTTAGGGCCTCGGGGCCTCGGGGCCTCGCTCGGGGCCTCGGGGCCTCGGGGCCTAGGGTTTAGGGTTTAGGGTTTAGACTACAGCAACTGCGGCTGGGGTGATGGTTGTTGCTTCGGATACTCTTCCTTCTATCATTGCCGTAGTACGATTCCCACAAGACGCTTGGGCCAGCGGGCAGGTTGCCTTACACTTTTGTATAGGAATACATATATACATATATATATAGAATGTAAATAAAAATATGTATACATATTCATATATACAGGAACTACGAGTACCAGGAAACATTGTGGGTAAATGATTTGGGCTCCGGAGTTACCCGAAATAGACACGCGAGCGCCCAGAAGCATGGAAGAGGCTCTCCGACCAAGGCGTCCCAGATGGATGGGATGGTGCCTTTACAAGGCTTTTAGGGTTTAGGGTTTAGGGTTGGCGCCCTGTAAGGCTTGGGGTTAAAGGTTAGAATAATGAGGGTGTAGCGCTTAGATCTTCGGGGCAGCAGATTTTTGGGTCTAAAGGCACAGACTCCTAGACTCCTAGACACAGTCGAGGCTGCAAACGAGGTGCTGTGCGCCAGACCCAAGGTAAGCACCAGCACCACAATCGTGATGCCCCAGGTGAGGTGTTTCACCTGGAAACTTGCTGGGCTGAAAAGAGGGTTTTGGGTGGGCTCTTTAGGGCACAAGGCTTCTTCTAGCCAAATGCTTTGACCTGGAAATTTGCTGGGCTGAAAGGAGGAGCAAATGCTTTGAGGAGCCATGCATCAAACTTCATCGTGGGGTTTTGAGACTCAGAGCTTTACGGCTCCAGGGCACCGCAGTGCCAATGCAGCGGCGTTGGGATCGCGCGGGGGTGGTTGGGAATTCGAAAGGCTACTGGGATAAATTGGAACAGATCCACCTTCATGAAGAAGCTGCTCAGCCACATCGCATTCGGCTTCTTCCGCTTGACCTGTAGTAGGGCATGGAGACCCTAAACCCCAAATGCCGAAGATGCCCTGGCACCTGCCTGACCACCCAACAAGGGTACTATCGGGTAGCACCTCTTTCCTTGGAAGTCGTAAGCTTCGCCTCCTTCGACCCTAAACCCTGAAGCCCTTAACTCTTGGAATCTGTAGGCTTTTACCTTAAGACCCCCTAAGCTTGAAGTTGAGAACTTAAACAGGCACCTGAAGATAACATGACCATGTGCGAATGCAAAACATCGAACACTGACCCCCGCGAAGCTGAAAGCCCTAATGATCAGGGCGTATAGGGCTGAAAGACACTCCCCAGACCCAAACACACGAGCTCCGCCAGACCGCATCCTGAAACAACCCCAACAAAATCCCCCTAAACCCCAAACCCCAAACCCCAAACCCTAAACCCTAAACTCTTCACAGCCCATGGGCGTCGTAGGAGGTGGCCCGGAGATCCGTCAGCATCTCGGGCATGTCAGGGCTAGACGAGCCACGGAAGATCCTTGCGGGAGGCCGGTGTCAGAGTGGACGATTTAGGGCTCAGGATTTGAGGTTTAGGGTTTAGGGTTGTTTAGGGCTCAGGATTTGAGGTTTAGGTTTAGGGTAGGGCTTAGGGTTCTTCAGGGCTTTGGACCTAGATTGGGGTGACCATCGGAACCCAACGAGCCCAACTACAGCAGCGTGAAGTCTGAGGCCAAACACAAGTGTCCCCTGCGTGCCTGGGAAATGAAGCTGTGCAAACAAGAATGCGTATAACGATCACACACACATACATACATACATACATACATACATACATACATACATACATACATACATACATACATACATATATATATATATACACTTAGATGTACCTGAAAACACATGATAACAACTAGCAAACTATGCTAAGCAAACTTGAAACATGTTCGCAGGGTCGATGACCATATCCTCTTGTAACACTCACAGGCCGAAATCCAAGACCCCTGTCAGAGCCACGCACAACGGCCTGAAAGTGCGGTGCAGGGTTCGGATATCTTACCCCAAACCCTCAAAACCTAAACCCTAAACCCTCAACCCAACCCTCAAAACCCTAAACCCTTAAACCCTTAAACCCTAAACCCTAAACCCCTTGAACCCTGAAACAGCCAAGGCTTGCCCAGGCTCAGCAGCTTCTCGCCCGCCACGACACGGATGGTGCCCTCATACTTGAGCCCCGCAGAAACAGGAACTGGCCCAGGCGCTGGCGCGCCGACGGGCCTCGGGATGGAGAGATTGTGGGCCTTTCGGGGTTCGCTGCTTTTTGTAGGCTTCTGGGGGTTTTTAGGGTTTAGGGCTTTCAGGGGTTTGGGGTCCGGAGTCCGGCTTCTAGGTGTTTGGGTCATAGGATCTTGGGCCGGGCTTCTGGGCTTGTAGGATGTTAGGGGTTTCGTAGGGTCGGGCTTCTGGGTTTGTTCAGCTGTTGCGCTGTAGGGCCAGCGGGGCTGTCATGCGTACATTTGAGGCCCTGGTACCCTAAAGCCTAAACCTAAACCCCAAACCCAAAACCCTAAACCCTTTGGCTGGCCTCTCCGAGACCCCAAGGGCAAGCGACGGTTCTCCACCCTGATAGTCTAAGCTCCACAACCCCCCAGACCTGGCCGACACTGAATCTATGGGTTTAGGGTTTAATTGGGGTTCAGGGGTTGGGTTCAAGATGGGTTTAGGGTTTAGGGTTTAAAGCTTAGGGTTTAGAGTTGTTGAATCGAGGCAGCGAAGTTCAGACGGAGCCCTCCTTGCTGCAGCAGTGGCGCTTGGTCATGTTCCAGGTGCCATAGTGGTCAGAGACCAAGATGGCAGGCTGGTCGGTCTGAATCGTGCACTCAGCCTGACTTGGTAGCCCAGGAACCATATGACAATATGGGCACCCGCTTTTAGGGTTGGTTGCTTTATAAGGGAACCTTGAACAACAACAGGAAAAGTGTATCACTGGGCTACCAAGCTGAATTTCAGTAAGACTTACGAGCTAATGTTGGGCGGCGAAGAACCACCGGCATGGCAAGAGCCACCGGAAGCTGGGCAGGGATGTGTTTCAGAGGAAATGCAATTCAGGGGGGGGTCCAGGCATCCGACCCACGTGGACCTTAAGAACCTCTGACTCTAATTTTAGGGTACGATCGGTGCCTGCAACTTCAACAATGGTCAGAAGGCTTGATGAACTTGGATAAAAAATGCCATCGGAGTTTCATAAGGCATGTGCGATTTCTGCAGCGCTCAGTCCCCAAAGCCTCATTCGGGTTCTGTGGTTTAACCCCAGACCCTAAACATCCCTAAGCCACAAACCCAAAAACTCCGGACTTTATAGTTTTGTGCGAGGTCGAAGACTCACGGTACAGGGCATAGGATGGTGTTCTGCAAAAACAATGCAGCCAACTCTTAGTCTAACAGGGATGCGGCGTAGCTGGCGTAGAGCTTGTGCACTTAGAGTGTATATTGTATGGAACACAGCGTGCTCAATGCTGCTTAGTGCCTTAGTTAGCAGTTTGTTCTTGTGTAGTCGCGTAGTCTAGCATGGTGTGTTGTAGTACGGCCCAAAGTCGCTTGATTTGCATGCAACAAAAACATAGGAAGGGTGCTGCTAACAAACGTAGCTATTGAACGGAATGGACAGCATTGGCGGCATAGGTGCAAGTCCGAGCAGTTTTGGAGTAACTGTAAAGCCAAGATGGGGAAATTCAACCCAGCAGCATCAATGCAGCCGCCGAGGTAGATAACCTTCCTCTCCTGGTCGATGCTATCCATGGTGAGGGCCTGGACACTGCTCGAAAGGGGCTTTTGGGCGTGCACTCGGGGCATAGCAACAAAAAACCCGCGGTCGCGTCCGTCTGTGCTGCAAACCCTTGCGCCAGGAATGTGGCGGTTGCCGGATCTTGACGGAAATGCAGAGCCATGTTTCTGCTTGACCGGCCTTCGCGTCAACGAGGGGCTGCTGCTCGGCCTTGCTGCTGCTCCTTTCGGGAAGCAGTGACTAGGCGCTTATCCTGTCCTTTGGGGGGGCTTTCGGGCTCAGGGTCATTGGGCGGTCCTTCCGGGAGTCAGGGTGACTATCTTGTGGTTGATGGTGTTCTCCGTAGTCGCGTGGTAGTCCCGGAAGGTGGCCAGCCATGCCCTGGTGATGATCATATGCCAGTTTGCGAAGATGGGCACCGAGACCATGGCGATAACGCAAGACCAGAAGATCCCTTGGTAGGATCCGTGCGCCTCCGTCACGTCATCGGAGAAGCTCTGAAGGAGGTTCTGTGACAGAAGCAGCTGCGGGAAGCTGTAGAAAGTGACAAAGGCCCCAACAACCACGCACCACAAGACATCCTCCGAGTCCAGCACAGCGCTTGCATCCTCTTTGGGATTTAGGGTTTAGGGTTTAGGGGGAACCCTGGCAAAAATTATAGTCTTGGCTGTTTCTTAGGAATTATAGTGCCCGATAATTCAAAAAATATTCCAAAGTATCCATAAGCAGCTGGTAGGTAAGGTCCCAAGCCCAAGGCGAGGATGCCAGCCACCACCAGGATCACCTCGCGGAAATGTTTGGTCAAGTTTAGGGTTTAGGGTTAGGGTTTAGGGTTAGGGTTTAGGGTTTAGGGTTAGGGTTTAGGGTTTAGGGTTTAGGGTTTAGGGTTTAGGGTTTAGGGTTTAGGGTTTAGGGTTTAGGGTTTAGGGTTTAGGGTTTAGGGTTTAGGGTTTAGGGTTTAGGGTGTAGGGTTTAGTGCTTGATGTCTGTGCCTAAGCTTTAAACTGCCTGGGCTTTAGATGGGCAGGAAGACACAAAGAGAGAAGAAAACCATCTTTCTTTCCGGTTCGAGATACTCCGCAGAGGACCCACTGACCTATGAGCCAGTTCTCTCCGCCCAACCACCACACGAAGGCCAACGCACAAAAACCGGATGACATTGTCCACCTTGGCAGCCCAGTAACCATGTTTTTATACCAAAAAAAGGGAAAAGGGTACCACGGGGGGTACCAAGCCACCATAGGATGGCTGCCGTTTCCACGCCGTTGATCTCCGCCCACAGGCGCCCGCGAAAGGCATCAAGCTGCGTGAAGAGCCGCTGGGAGGAGTCATCGCCCATGCACTGCTGAAAGCGAGCCTGCCAGCGATTTCATTGCAATACACACACACACATCTATATATATATATATGTATACATATATGTATATATATATATATATATTGCAATCATGAAGCAGGCTCACAGACATTCGCCCCATACAGTGAGGCGAGCATGCTGAGGGCTCACTTAGAGCTCGGCGCCTGGATCCTGGCGGATCTCGCTTCCGCCTCGCCCTGCTCGGTGCTCGGGGCCATGTTTGCCGCAGAGCGCTCGAACTAAACTTTGGGCTCACGCTTGGCTCAGGTCCTAAGGACGCCTGCAGGTGGAGCCGATAAGCGTGATGCCGCAGAGGCATCGCGGAGATCAGATCGTACAAATCGTGGCATCGAAGCCGCAAATCCAAGCCCTAAACCTCAAGCCCCCTTGCCCCGCACAAAAACAAGCCCTTGAACCCTACACTCATTAACCCAGTGTTACCACGTGGAGCTCGAATAGGCTGGTGCCTTGAAAGCCTTGAACAGCTTGTTAAAGTCTTAAAGAAGATCCTCATCATCAGAGGAAGTGGGGGAGGAAGTGGGGGAAGTAGAAAACACGTTTGCGCACTGCGCACCCCAAGGAGCTAACGAGCCAAATGACTTGATGGTTTGCGGTGAAGGCTTCGTACGCACACGATAAGGCACCTAGGGATTATGGTTGGGGGCTTAGGGTTTTTGGTTTTTAGGGGTTTTAGGATGCAGAGTGCAAGACTCTCAAGGGCTGCCAGGTAGCCTTGAACCCTACCAACAAAAATCCCCCCCCCCCCCCACCCCCCTCTAAATCCTACACCCAAAGCGCTAACACCTAGGATCACGGGACCCTGACCTCTAAAACAATAATCCATGCTCCGAGGTAGCTCTAACCCTTGGATTTTATAAGGGGAGTGAGTGCTGTCCCAATACGTTACCGACTCAGCACCTAAGTATTAGTTTTCAAGCATGGGTCCCGAGTCTCAGCAATAAGCCCCCCAACCCTGTAGATAAACTGACCCTAAACCCTAAACCCTAAACCCCAAACCCTGTAGATTGACTGAGACCTTGAACCTGAAGATGCTCTGAAAACTGTGGGTTTAGGATCTCGGCTGCAAGGCCAAACTCCCCACAACCGGCCTTTGGTCTTGGCAAGCCTTGGTGGTTGAGGGGGGTGAGGGGTTTAGGGGGGGTTGGGGGGGGGGGGGGGGGGGGGGGGGCGGGGGGGGGGGGCGGAATGGGGGGGTGGTGGTGGGGGGGGGGGGTGGGGTGGGGGGGGGGGGGGGGGGGGGGGGGGGGGGGGGCCTCAGGCTGACATAGGCAGCCCTTACCACTTCAAGTGGAAAACCCTAGACTATTCACTTGTGAATAGAGCGGCGCCCCTGTATTCCATGGAGAGTTCGGTTTTGATGGCTTAGGATCTCACAGGCTCAAAGCCCTGGCGGTCTGGTGCCTACACAGCCGGCGAAACCGTAAAAAACCTAAGCCGTAATCCCTACATGATGCTCTAGGATTCCAGTGGCAAGAAACGAGACTGTGTTGGAGACATGGGCATTTGCCAAACATAGGGGCAATAATAACATCGTTCAGCATACGAAAAGCCTAAGGAACACCCAAAATAGCTACCGCACAAAGGGTAACAGCGTGTCAGAACGTTCATGCCAGGCAGCAGCTTGCGGTTTGGCCCACTGGCATCCGGGGAACCCCTTGATGAATAGAGCCGAGTTACCTAAGGACAACTAGGGTACAGCTGGGTAGGTGGAGCCTCAGTCACGTACCTTCCCTATGCCGAACCTTAAACCCGACATTTACCCAAGCCTGATTCACGCAAAAAACTGCAATTAGGTCAACCTCAGACTCCGGCTCGTCGAAAGAATGGAAGCTCTCTTCTTTCCGACCTTTGTCCGCCAGCGACCTCGCATGTCACAAAAAGGTGCAGCGATGTCGGCAACAGACCATATAGCAAAGATAAGGGAGCAAGACACAGAGAGAGAGAGAGAGAGAGAGAGAGCGAGAGAGAGAGAGAGAGAGAGAGAGAAAGCAGGAGTGTGCGAGCTAGCGTGCTAGAGGCTCCATGGGTGACAGAACGGAGTTTTGCGGGGTCGTAATGAAAGATGAAGAGACAGGGAATGATGGACCGATAGCTTAGTGGATGACTGGACAAACAAATGGAGGTTAGAGAGACAGCTGCATGAACTCTCGCTGTCGTTCCTTCATGTTCGGGCCTGCAGCTACCGTTTTAAAGCCCGCAACTGTTGGATCCCGAACTCCCCCAAAGCCGTGAAGGTTCGGTTGGGCTAGCGGTACCACAGTAGGTAAGTTGAATTCTCGTGCCTCCTGAATCTAAGTACCCAAACCCTAAACCCTAGACCCTAAATGTTTAGAGCTTGGGGTTTAATTAGGGGACCTCCTCTCTAGACTCCAGACCCTAAACCGCCCATGTTTAGGGAGCCAACTTGGCCGTCCACAGCGACGGCAGGACCCGCCTCTCCTCGCGAAGCTTTGCTGGTCCATTGGGGCAAAAGCAAAATACGTGTCCGTGCAACTTTAGTTCAAAACCATGGTCGATGTAATGTAGAGGCCTATTGCAGATATTGAAGTAGATCGAGTACTACGGGTAGTTTCTTCCATGAGGATCACCAAGGCATGACCAAGGAATAAAACATGGATGAGTATTTGGGCTCTTGTATTCCCCTCTCGTGATTGCCATAGAAATTTCTGCCTTGAGGCTTGGGATCTCCTCAACCTCTCAACCCTGACGCCCAAGATACGAACGACTATCCAAATCCCCGCCCCTACAGCCCTAAGCGCCCTGAAATTTACTGAGGCTTTGCAGGGCTTAGCCCTCAACCTTCATATACATAACCGAAGGTCTTTAACCATACAAAGATATATGTCTGCAAACGTGTAAGACCCTCATGCACCGGCTTCATTCTCCTAAGTCAAGTCACCCTCCTCCCCCCCCCCCCCCCCCCCCGTTGCAAAGCTTCAAGGCTTCCTCCAGGGGCCTCCTTTCGGGGCCGTTTGAAGCTTCCTTTCAGGAAGTCTCCCTTTAGGTGCATGTGCTCGGGGCTCCCTTTCTCGGTTGCCCAAAAAGGCCGGCGGTTAAGCCATCAAAGGACTCTAAAGGGGCCTCCTTGAGGGGCTTCCTTGCGGTGCCCACTACTTGGAGGTTCAGGGGTAGCGATGAGCTAGGTTGTAAGTGCTCTAAGTGGGGCTATATGTATAATTACCATACTTATAACCCTGCTTATAACTACCCATGAACCTCCAAGTAAGGGCCCTCCTCTGGGGGCCTCTTTCAGTGCAAAGTGGCGTTAAAGCGTGGTTGGGTTGCTTCCTGGTGCCTCTTGGGTGAATGTGTGATTGTTTTGCGTATTTCCGTGTCTGGGCTCAATTTGTTCTCTTGTCAGATGCCGCACCCTAATTGTTTAAACCCTAACCCCGAAACCCTCTAATTACAAGGCAGCCGCATGTCCTCCAGCGGATCTGAGCGCAAGAGCAGAGGGGAGGCGGTCAAGTCCGTGATTGGGGGGTTTCCAGAATCCGTGGAGTTCAGGGTTCAGGGTTTTGGGCCTCCTACAACAAGAGTCCGAATACTTTGGGGTATACAAAGGTACTACGAAGTTTTGGGAGCCTCTTCACATTTTCGGGTATACAAGGGTACCACCGTACCAAAAAAACTAGGGAACTCATTTTGGGGTTCCTATAATATGAGAAGGGTTAGAGTATGTTGGGGTAGGTGCCACGAACATTTGGGGGCATGGGTACCTTTGTCATGTGGTGTCACAATATAACAGGAACCCTCAAAGGGACTACAAATGAGAGAAATCTCGACCTCCCAAAGCCAGAACCTTAAAAACTGCAATGCAAGCATCGATCGCGTAAGCCCAGGAAGCTGCTGGCATTTGCCAACCCCAGAACAGCGAGAGACCACACGAGCCCAAAGTCCAAAAAAGATGACGGTTTACATTTCGGCGGCCGAAAAGGACCAAAAGTGGCCATAGTTTCGCAGTTCAAGAGCGTGGTTCCCGCGATCAGGCCGTCTTACTCTCGAAATTGGAACCCCAGACTGCTGACGCCCTGTTTGGGGAATGAACGCTTCTGCAGTACCCATGTACGGAGCATTGCGAAATCTCACGCCGGCATCCTCGACCTCCCTGAATCAACTCGACCGGAAGACGGATGCTGGGCGGGAGGCTCTTCTTCAGGCTCCCAGAGGACTGCTGAAGCTTGACCTCTTGATTGACTCAGTCGTGCCAGAGTCCGAAGGCTTTCCTTTGTAAAATAGGGGGAGACATGGCGAGCTCTACAAGAAATGGCCACTGTTTCAAGCAAAAAACACGAAGCCTGACGTCTACGTGCCCCAAAAAAGGACCAATATTCAGAGAACAGGAGGGTTTCGGGGGTCAGGATGCCTTGAGGTTGGCAGGCAAAGGAGAAGTATTCGTTTTGCAGAGGTATTTGATTGAAAACGATGAACCCAGGACCACAGCCAGTATGTCAGGCTTGAAATGCAAGACGCCTATGTCTAAGGTCCTTGACAGACAGACATGCGCTCTCTATCCCTCTTAATTTAAACAAAGCACTTCAAGACAGTCTCCTGTCTGACACCCTAAACCCTAAACCCTGAACGATGCACGCAGACGTCCGAGTCCCAGGCCGTACTTTCCACTGGCCCCGTTGCTGCCGCATCTATCTGAGCCTATTCGAGATATTCAGTCAAGGAAACACCGGTTTTAGGAAGTTTTGGGTTTAGGGTTTAGGGTTTAGGGTTTAGGAAGTTTTCGGTTGAGGGATGGGGTCAGCTTTATCCTCTGCGCGAACTCCGCCCAAAGCCTGTGATGCTCTCAAGTCATATAGCGATGCCATGTTGATCATGGGGCACTGTGGGGTTCCTATGAGAGTACACCGCAAATACATACATACATGGATACAAACAAAACAAACATATAATATGCATATACATATCGCGCTTTCTCTCTCTTTATTTTTCTGTATATATCTCTGTAGAATTAGAGTTAGAGTTTGAGAGAGAAAGACAGAGAGAGAAAGAGAGAGAGAGAGAGGAGAGAGACAGAGCGAGTGAGACAGACTTTGAGAGCGCAAGAAGGAAAGAGAGTCAACGAGAGTTGATGAGCACCAAAACCCACCGCAATTGAGATCAACTCCCACTTGTTTTGGGGATTTCCCAAAATGCCCCACACCACACCACACCACCCCCCCCCCCCAACAAAAAACAATGATAA